TTCCTAATAAGTGATAATCAATTAAACAGAATTGAAGCACATTTGTGGTATCTGCTCTTTAGGTTTTCTATCCTGTAGTTTGAAATCCAAGTGATTTACACCTTGTATCATTTAAACATCTGTGTGTTCGAGCTTTCCTCATTACTCCTTGTTTAATGTGATATATACCCTTTCAAAAGGCCACACTCCTGCCATTTATCATCTGCAGCCAAGGTTGCCCAACCCTTTCTGATTACAGCAGTCAAGCTTTTATGGTGACGAGTGAAGTACAACATTTGACTGATTGGACAATGCACTTGATATAAATTTTACTAAAGGTTTATTTCCGGCCACACATTGGAGTATGACTGAAAACAATCAATCACTTAAGACAGGATTTGATTTTCAGATTGCATCCAGATATAAACCTTCGAACACACATTTTCTAATGACAATTTTTTTTTTTTTTTATATGGCTAATAGATTGAGATACATATTCCCTTTCATCTCTCATCAGCATGATTATTGGGAAATGTAGCTGCTTCTTAACAGGCTGACAGAAAAACTAATTCCACACTTTGGACCTGGGTTAGAAAAATCTCAGCTTTTTTAAAGTACATCTTTATTCCCTGACAGTGATTTCATCCTAGAATTTCAAAACTTAGAAATCCATTGTAAATCCAATTTGTAATGAGTAGACATACATTCATAATAAGATGGAAGTCTGTGATTTTATATCAAACATCAGATGTCGGAATTATAAAAACAAAATATTTCTGTGCTTGTAATTTTCAGTTTTCCATAAACATTGTCCAACATAATATGCATACTGATGTTTTTAATAACATGTATGATGTCAGTATCATGTTATACATCCCCCGGTTATTAATGAGAAGGACGGTTTTAGAGGCAAGCACAGGCATGTAAGTTATTATCAGCCAATGACCTTTGAGACAGGACTACTCCAACACTCGAGTCTGAGGCTTGAACCTCAAGAATGAACTGGAAATGGGGGTCAGGATGAACAAGAGCCTGTAAGGATTTTCTTTTAAGTTCACTGAATGCAATCGGCTTCGGGGGTCCTTGAGACAGAAATCTGAGTGAAAGTCAGAGAAGTGAGGAGGGTTTCGGTTTGACTGTAGCTGTGGATAAATCACGGTATAAATGTGCAAATCCAATGAACTTTAGTAAGAGTTTTCTGTTAATCGGCTATGATCCATTCCTGTGGTGCCTTTATCTTTCCACGGTCTCTATGTACCTGCTCACTCTCAAAAAATGCACTTGGGCAAAGAAACTGATGACCTGTAGAACTCTAATTTCTCTGCCTTAAAGATAAGCTGTTCTTGAGGAGGTGTTGAAGGACTAGGTGGACATTCAATATTATTTGTTTGAGTCTTCTGTAATCAATATATGGCGCTGGGGGGAACCGTCCTTCTTGGAAACCAAGCAGAAGAGAGCTCCCGGAGGTAAAGATGAGTGTCTTATCAGTCTTGCAGAAAGTGAGCATTCATGTATTTTTTTATTAACTCATGTTTCAAAATTATAGAGATGACTTGAAGGCAAGGGGAAACCAGAGAGCAAATCAGAGACACAATCATTAGTTCAATGAAGTGGAAGAGAAGAGCTTAGTGGTCAGCTTCAGCTGAAAGGTGTGCATCGGAAGATCTCAAAAAAGATTATAACAACCAGACTTTGTTTCAGGTTAATCGAATTTACAAACAAAAAGCAGCTCTGATCTCAAGAGGACTGACAGCTGATAATGATTCCAAACCAGTTAATCAAATACATAAAGAGCCTGATCCACAAAGATTTCAAATAAGCATTATTGGATAATCCCCTCACCAAAGGGGACCTCTTGCAGCTGATCAAAACAAAGGTAGAGAACATCACTTTAATAGGAAAGTGGCTGGTATGACTTTTGTAAAGAATAAGAGCAGCAGATGACTGTAGCATCACAGCTTATCTAACTCAGAATAAAAAAACATCTCTGCCAGGTGATAGAATAGCTCCTGGACTACACTGCCCTGTTTCTAACACAACAGCCAAATATACTTCACAGTTATATTGAATTACTGTCCAGCAGAAAACATGCAACCTCTGCATCTGTTTTGAAGCCCAGCTCCCTCATAAATTGTCTCCACCTGGCAAAAGCTGCACCAACAGGATTCCCGTTTTCTCCCGGTTCTTAGTTCTTTTTCTTTTTTTGTTTGTGAACAAAGAGTGCAGATTGTCCTCCATTTCACCACAGCGTAAAGTAGAATAATCTGTTTTTGTTTGTTCTAATTTCCTCTGCAAGGACAACACTGTGTTTTGATACAGGTAAAACAGTAAAGGCTGACAAGTTCGTCCCCTTTCAGCTTCTACGAACAAACATGATGGCGCAACTTGGCATCTTCTTTTGGGTCCATGTATTTATAAACTACTAATTTCAAACCATGAGAATGTTATTAGACTTTCATAATATCTCGTCTCCGTCCCTCCCTCACTCCCCAAACTACCGCCATTCTTGTTCACAGTCTCATCACTTCACGCATCGATTACTGTAACTCACTTCTTTTTGGCCTTCCAAACAAGTCCCTCCAGAAACTACAGCTCCTCCAAAACTCTGCAGCACGCCTGATCACTCGGACCCCCATTTCTCATCATATCACTCCCATCCTGCAACAACTCCACTGGCTCCCCATCAAACAAAGAATCATCTTCAAACTCCTCCTAACTACATTCAAGGCCCTCCACAGCTTGGCTCCATCTTACATCTCAGATCTCCTTCACGTTAAAACCCCCATCCGCTCCCTAAGATCCTCCCACTCCTTCCAGCTCTCCGTTCCCTCGGCCCGTCTGGTCACAATGGGGAACCAGGCATTTAGTCGCTCTGCTCCCCACCTCTGGAACTCCCTCCCTCCGGATCTCCGTACTCTGGACTCCTTCCCTCTTTTCAAATCCAGACTCAAAACTTTCCTGTTCAGACAGTCTTATCCCATCTAGTTCTTACGCATCACTTCAATATTGTTCTCTTCCTTTTCTTCCTTTGGTTTTATTTTACTTCCTGCTGTTTTGTTTTCTGTGGCATCTTTATGCTTGTACTTTTTAGCTTCCTGTTTTTAATGTTTTTATCTGCCTGTACAGTGTCCTTGGGTGTTGTGATAAGGCGCTTTCAAATAAAATGTATTATTATTATTATTAGTATCTATTAAAACAATGCTTGATTTTTACAATTAATGTGAATTTGTTACACATTGTCCCTCTATAAAAAGTAACTACTTTTCTTTTCTAGTTTGTTCTCCGAAAAAGTAACTCAGCTAGTAACTCTGTTACTGCTTAATCAAGGTAACTAGCTACTAGTCAAAGTAACAATGTAGTTACCTTTTATAATCTAAAAAAAAAAAAAGGATTTTGATGTCTTTTCGGTTATCAGAAATTTAAATAAACAACAGGGAGTTTAATTATAAAATATAACATCTTTATTATAAATTCATAAGTTAAATAATTAATTCAAAACATTGTTAATCTGCTCTCACATTGTGTGTAGTAGAACAAGTAAGTTGCAAACTATTTATGTAGACGTGATTTTTTTTAATTTATAAAAAGGACTAATAAAGCAAATTAGATATTTTAGAATTTTTTTTGTTTTTGCACATTGACAGACTTGTTCTGGCTTTTAAACAAGTATGAAGATGAAAAATAATGCTTTTCAAGCAATTGAGCGATTGAACAAAAACTAAAATATACCAATATAATTAAACAGGAATAACAATATTCCAAAAAAACAAACGTCAGGACTGTATTATCCCCGTATTTTGTGTAAATAAACTATGTACAGTGCAAGTGGGCAGCCAGCTGTCCTGTCATTTCTCAGATGATATGAAGGGTTTTGTTTTTATATTAGAGATGCTTTTATCTGACATATACTAAGTATTTTTTTTCCTGCAAGTAATGAGGAAATCACAGTTACATTTAGCCTTTGACTTCAGTGAGTGTTATTTGTTTCCTATGAATGATTCAGTGTGCTATCATCTCTCAGTCTTTTATCAAGCATGATGAACACCCACCCACATTACAGTTTCTCAGCCAATCGGCATCATATATGCCTATTTTAGCTCCCTGCTCATCCCTGCTGTAAAAATCTCTCCCCACAGCCAACTGAACTTATGAACCGTAGCTTGTTTGATTGAGTTGAAGTAATGTGATGAGTTAAATTGCTAGCAACATAACGGCATGACCAACAAATAAAAAGTAATTAGATAGATTACTTTTTCAATCAAAATTAACACAGTTTATAATAATTATTATTCTATAATGCCATCACTCCCAAAGCTGTGGACAACAGAAACATAAACATTTTGGTCTGCCGTATTTAACTGAGAAAATTGCATGTTCTACTGACAGCTGTTGACAACAAAAAACAAAAAACATCTATATTGAATAGGCTTGAAAATGCCTTGCTTACTGTAGTTCACTGCAATCTATAGCACAATACTACTACTAGTAATGGATTAAAGAAACAGTACCCTTATCCCGATTTTATGCAAGATTAAAGGAAGACAAATGTGTAAAAATCCATATTTCAGAGTCTCTATGTGTCTTTTGATGCAAAAATCCAAAAGGAACAATTTTATTGATAACATTCTGGAAAGATGAAAAAACTGAAAACTTTAGTTATACCTTGATTAATATAGAAGTTTTCATTATTTCATATGACCTTTCAATAAAATGCATAAATATTATTTAAAATAGTGAAAACACTTTTTGAAGAAGATAAAAACAAAGAACTTCTGGAAAGCCCAAATATTCTCTTGAATATCCCATTTGACCCTAAGCCCTGATTGGCTGGGAGGGCTGTAGAAAAACAGCTGATGTAGTAATACATTTCTGGACTCCCTGGAGAGTATTTCAAGTCAATGCTATGTTTTTTACTTGTTGTAAGCTGTTAATTTAAAACACATAATGATTTAAACGACTCTTATAATCTTATAATATTATTTTACCTTTAATCTTTATCGTTGTGTGACTTTTCTCAACAGGGAGTTTGGACGATGGAAGGTGAACAACCTAGCAGTGGAGAGAAGAGATTTCCTGGAGTCTCAGTTACCTTTAACCCCGGAATTCATCAGAAACATCCGACTTCTGGGCCGTAGGCCCACCACCCAGATGATCACTGATAATCTGATAAAGAAGTATGGAACCCACTTCTTATTAACTGCAACACTTGGAGGTAATTAAACTATTATTGCTTTTTTTTTTTGGAAAAAGGGATTTGATTTATGTATATCAAGGCTGAGTTATATAAGAATGCATTTGTGTTACTTTATCTAAATATTACCTTTCTATCAGACTTACTAAACCTATATTTAACTTGTTATTATTTTAAACCTTTATTAAGTCACCTCTTAGTATCTTGGGCATTATTAATAGTGTCAGGTGTGGACATTTATTGAAGTAAATTAGCCTCCATCATGCTGAATTTGTTATGGATATGTAAAGTGTGAACATTAAATAAAGAATGGCTAATAAATATTCTATTCTAAACAGTCTTTTGCTCAATTAGTATTCTACACTATCCTGGCTAGCAAGACTGACTGACACTCTGTATGAGTCAGTCTGATTAGGCTCATTACTGTCCAATCTGTAACAGACCAGACCAATCACAGCGCTGGAGGTGGGCTTATAATGCAGCAGTGCTTTTCTATATTTGTTAAAGTCAGGATTGCAACTGCAAAGGACCAATGTTTTAAAGGTACCCTTTATTATATGAAGAAAATGTTTGGATCATTAAGATCTAAATAACTGGGTGCAATCAGTGGTTGTCTTAAAAAAAGAGCATTTTTTCTATCTTATCTGTAGTTATCTAATGGGTTTCAAAACTGTTTCAACTGACTCTGTTAGTCTTGCCTTTTAACTCAGACTTTGTTCATGATTTAAATTCTTCTGGATGGCCAGGCTAATGTCCATTATGATACTGCAAATAATCAGCTGTAGTTTTTGCATTTTAAATGGATTCCATAATTGAATCCATATGACTTGCTTTAAAAGTAACTACTTTCACAGAGAAGCCTTGAAATCAGTTGTGAATTTGTTTTCTCTTAAAAACCTATAGAATTGCTGTAGGCATTATTTTGTTGGGAATAGCGCAGAACTTTTTTATATAAAAAAGAAAAGACTATATAGCAACTTTACAGTCATAATTGTGACCGTTATGAGTGTAGGTCAATAAAAAAGGAAAACCCTCAATTTGATAGACAGTCAAGGAAAAAGAATTTTTTTTAGAAAGAAAAAAATTACCAAGCATTATTTATTTGTCGTATCAATCCATTTCATAAGCTTTGCAAGTTGAAAATAAATGGATGCTGGAAGACATGATCAGCTGTGACTGTGGTGATGATAAGCTTATCTTGTGAGATTTTTGACGGCATAGTGTTGAAGACAAAATATTAGAAAACATTTTTTTCTGTAATTTCATTCTTTACAGTGGAATGATTAAGCCTATACATTATTTTCCAGCTGGACCATACACCCAGGTGTGAAATTAAACAAAACCAATTATTTTTCTCCATAATAACCAGGACTTTACCCATCTAGAGAATTTTAGAGAATAACATATTTTTTTTCTTTGATTTGCTTTCACAGTTTTCTGCATGGGAAGCGGAAAATTATTTCACTTTACTGGAGTTTTCTTAGTGTCCATTGAACACATCACAATAGAATTCAAAACCCGAACAGCACACACAGTTATGTGTAGTTGCACAGACTTGTGAAATGTCATATTTAAGAAAATCTTGTTTTTTCACAGACATTTGAATGGTCATACACTAATGGTTCCCTGGCTTTTCTGAAAAAAGAAAGAAGAAAGGAAAACTTTTTAAGATGCCAGAGAGGTCAAGGCTTTTCTCTAAGTGATTTCCTTTTACAAAGCAACACTTGTCAATTACTTCAGACCTAACTCAAAGCTTTGAAAAGGTTGCTGTTGTGAGTGGCTCCAAATAATGCAACCATCCCTGGCATCCTGAGCTGATGTTACCCTACGCTCTGGCTCTTAGCCAGTTTGTTAGTGCTTTGGACAGAGCAGAATGAGGAGTTTGCTTTGGATCTTTGCCCGAGAAATGTCTCTGTGGTTCTGTATGAATTGCCTCTGTGTTCAGAAACATATGGACTTAATGAAATTAATTAATAGAATGTGATATTAGGAGTGTGCCCTTCAGCAGTTGAGTAAGAAAGGCAGTTGGCAGAAAAATGACTTGGAAACATTAACACTGCATTATAATGAGAAAGATGATGTGCAGTGTCTGAGGAACTCTAAAAGCATAGACCATCTGCTGCACCCCAGCCCTTAAACTTATAAAGAAGTGATTGCTATGATCAGTGGGTTCAGATGTAAAGTGGCATGGCCTATCCTAACTGTGACCAATAGTCTTGTGTCGAGTGTCGGCTGTTCTGGAGTTTCTTGGTACCATATTACCTTGGAAATTTCTGGAATATAACAGTTTTGGATTTATTTCTGATTTATTTCTAAACTGTAGATAGTATTTTTAATTAAACATTAAACTCCTTGTGGGGGACATTTTTCAAATTTGCAGTTTTTCAAGGTTACATTAAAAAGAATCTTGGAAGGCAAGATTGTGAGTTGCGCTGACTTTAGACACGTCGGGACAAAAGACTTAGACCTAACCTCGGTCTAAGTAACAACAACAAACAGCTTAGACTTGACTTAGATATAGGCATTATAGATTAAAGACCATGTTTTTACATGGGATCAACAGACTTGTGTCTGATGAACAATCTTTATCTTATACAGTTTAGCCTGAGAGTATGCCAATAATTATACATCCTTGGAGAAAATGATTAATGTTGTCTTGATAATGTTATGCACATCAGTAATTGAGTCTCTCTGATGGTTGTGCTGTGTGTAAGTCAACAGTTATTGATGTGGGAACTATTAAACAGCCAAATGTTGTAAAGCTGTTTTTTGTAATCAATCTCAATTGTGTGTTTTAGGCAGCAAACCCTTCATTTATGTTTTTTATTATTTATTTTTTTTTCTATAAGACACCACACCTGGGCTTTTCAAAACATTCTTTCATCAGAAAAAAAATCAGATTTTTAGAAGTAAATAATGTTTGATACACCAACAACAGGAAGAATGTAGCTCTTGTCATTAATTCAATATATTTTTCCAAATTCAGTTCAGTACATACATGTACAGTACAGTAACTGTCAAGACTAAAATGAGATGTTTTAATTTCAAATAGAATTTTTACTTTAAATTATACACAGCATTTGAGCAATATACAGTTCAGCCAGAGAAAGTTGCACAATATAATGTCAGACTATCTACGTCTATGTAAAACACTACTTGGGAATCAGTTTTGTCTTTGATTCTGATAACAGCTGAGCCTTTCTGGGGGTCATTTAGTGTTTGAAACTGTTGTTTGTTCACAATATCTTATCAACATATCCAAACAGAAAATGCAATATTGTAATCATTTTCATAGAAAACCTAGTTAAGGGTTATATTAGACATATTTATCACATTTAGATAAATATTTTTTCAACAAGTTTTGAGCAATAAAGCCAGAGGAAAAGTATTAAATTAAATAAACAGCAGTAACCTTTTTTAGTCACTTATACGCAGTTTAGATTACGGATCAACTTCTGTTAAAAGGCTTTAATGCACCACTGATTCACTTAAAAAGGACAATGTGAAAACATGTTCCTTTTTGATACAGGGGAAGAGGCCTTAACAATATTTGTGGACAAAAGGAAGCTGAGTAAAAAAGCAGAGGTGAGCGATTTCTCCGGTAACTCCTCTACTGTGACTCTGGAGGCTCTGCACCAGCTCGCTGCTTCTTACTTCATTGACAGGGAAAGCACTCTGCGCAAACTGCACCACATCCAGATTGCCTCATCCGCCATAAAGGTAAGGCCTTTTTAATACATGTCTTTGTTATTTCATTTGTATAACATGCTCTATATAAACATGTAACACCTTCCATTTAAATGGATTTTCATCTATTTCATACATTAAAAACACTTCACCACTGCCATTATAAAATAACCTGCAAAGGTAACTTGTGATATAAAATATCCTGGAAAGGTAACTTATTTTAAATTAAGAGAGTCATTGCTTTTTTTCCCCCAATATATGTGCAGAAATTATAAATGTATATAATTTTCTTGCATACTATATGGGGCCAAAAAAGCAGCACAAAAAAGTGTGGCTGTAGAAATGTAAAGCAAATATTGAATTACTTATTAAGGCGTATTATTTATTGATTGACTTTATTGATCTCACAGTGGAGAAATGTACCCGTTACATCAGCTCAATAGTCAAAAAAGAATAAGCTGCCATAAGGAAGAAAAGGTGCATGGGGTATATACAGTATAAACAGTGCTTCCATACAGTATAAGATAAGATAATCCTTTATTTGTCCCACAGTGGGGAAATTGCATCTATATATATATATATATATATATATTTATATATATATATATATATATATATATATATATATATATATATATACATATACACTCATTGGCCACTTTATTAGGTACACCTGTCCAACTGCTCGTTAACACTTAATCTCTAAGCAGCCAATCACATGGCGGCAACTCAGTGCATTTAAGCATGTAGACATGGTCAAGACAATCTCCTGCAGTTCAAAGCGAGCATCAGTATGGGGAAGAAAGGTGATTTGAGTGACTTTGAACGTGTCATGATTGTTGGTGCCAGAAGGGCTGGTCTGAGTATTTCAGAAACTGCTGATCTACTGGGATTTTCACGCACAACCATCTCTAGGGTTTACAGAGAATGGTCTGAAAAAGAAAAAACATCCAGTGAGAGGCAGTTCTGTGGGCGGAAATGCCTTGTTGATGCCAGAGGTCAGAGGAGAATGGCCAGACTGGTTCGAGCTGATAGAAGGGCAACAGTGACTCAAATAACCACCCGTTACAACCAAGGTGGGCAGAAGAGCATCTCTGAACGCACAGTACGTGGAACTTTGAGGCAGATGGGCTACAGCAGCAGAAGACCACACCGGGTGCCACTCCTTTCAGCTAAGAACAGGAAACTGAGGCTACAATTTGCACAAGCTCATGGAAATTGGACAATAGAAGATTGGAAAAACGTTGCCTGGTCTGATGAGTCTCGATTTCTGCTGCGACATTCGGATGGTAGGGTCAGAATTTGGCGTCTACAACATGAAAGCATGGATCCATCCTGCCTTGTATCAACGGTTCAGGCTGGTGGTGGTGGTGTCATGGTGTGGGGAATATTTTCTTGGCTCTCTTTGGGTCCCTTGGTACCAATTGAGCATCGTTGCAACGCCACAGCCTACCTGAGTATTGTTGCTGACCATGTCCATCCCTTTATGACCACAATGTACCCAACTTCTGATGGCTACTCTCAGCAGGATAATGCGCCATGTCATAAAGCTGGAATCATCTCAGACTGGTTTCTTGAACATGACAATGAGTTCACTGTACTCAAATGGCCTCCACAGTCACCAGATCTCAATCCAATAGAGCATCTTTGGGATGTGGTGGAACGGGAGATTCGCATCATGGATGTGCAGCCGACAAATCTGCGGCAACTGTGTGATGCCATCATGTCAATATGGACCAAACTCCCTGAGGAATGCTTCCAGCACCTTATTGAATCTATGCCACGAAGAATTGAGGCAGTTCTGAAGGCAAAAGGGCAAAAGGGGGTCCAACCCGTTACTAGCATGGGGTACCTAATAAAGTGGCCGGTGAGTGTATATATATATATATATATATATATATATATATATATATATATATATATATATATGACAGATGAAGTCTCTTATGTAACAGGACTTTTATAAAGGGTTATTGTAAAGGGTATTTACATGGGTATTTATATAGATGGGTATTTACAGTATATGTATCTATTGCAATGGGTATCAAATATAAAAGAAAAAATATTATTTGCTCTAACAGTACAAAACAAACAAACAAACAAAAAAAAACTAATGTTCGCTGTTGTTTTGTGACAATATCTAAATCATTGAAAAATAATTTCACAAAATGAATCCGTTTTTTTTGCTTAAAACTTCCAGGGAGCAAACATTTTAGTTTTTAATCTAGATAACCCTAGTTTAGTGAAAGTGCTTATGATAAATTCAAAGTTCCTAGCAGGCTTAGGTCATTCAATTTGACAATCAAAGTCATCAGTCACAGCTGCTGTTGTTGGCTAAAAAGTTTGCATGTATTTTTTAATTATATATTTTTGTTTAGTTGTTATGCTCTCTAAGCCAAGCTTATAGATAAAGCTAATTTTATATATTCCATGCTTAGAAAATTGATTAAAATTTATTTGTTGACGTTTAGCTGTTTAGCAGTAATTTTTACCTAGAAATATTTATTTGAATTTATTCTAATGAAATGTTTGTAAATTATTGTACCAATTGTATTTAAAGTAGTTTAACAAAAAATATTTAAACACCTTCATCAAACAAGCTCATATATTTGAATTTAAGATCCATAATATGTTTAAAAATGACAGTTTAAAAATGAATAGTTAATACCCTCGGTAAATTACAGATTTAATTAAATCTTACTAGAGAAGGGTTTGTTTTTTGTCTGCGTTTGATGAAATATCAGCATCATCTGCTTTTAGCCTGTTGAGGCTGCAGGAAGAACTCTGATGAGCACATATGGTGAGGGGAGGATAAATGACTCGTATGAAACACGGCTGGTGACAAGTCACCAGTTCCAGGTTTCACCTTCAGGTTGCATGGGTTAATGGGGTGACAGAGGAGAGGGCGGCTCCTTTCTCTGCTGATTTCTCCGGACACAGTGGGAGCTAGCTGTGTGGTTTGTGTTGCTCCCTAAAAATATGAGTCATATCTTATTTTTATATCAAAGCTCAGTGGTTCTTGCTAGAATGATGGGGTTTTGCAGTTAAGGTTAGCACTGCACAGGAGTAGCATCAAATGCTTTTGTCTTTTTTATTTCTTGGGAATCAAAACTCTGTCTGTAGCTACAGAGGGGAAGATAAGATGTGAGGATGTGTTTTTATGGTCCAAAAGCAGTCATCTGGTGTGACTGACAGGTGGGAAGTGGAAAAAGCACAGATTCACCTATATAATCAGTGTAAAGTGAGTCAAAAGGGTGAGAGATTTTCCACATGTGCATTCTGTCCAAAAGGCATTGACCCACAAGATAGCAAAACAGATTGCAGCTCTCGGCATAAATTTAAGATCTAGAAAGCTGAGAAATAAATTATAGCAAGACGATGAGGTCTGCCTTCATGCTGCCTCTATTCAAATTGTAAATTGAAGTTCACTTTGGAGGTGTATAAATTTTAGTATTATAATGCCTTGGAAATATGGGTTTTCTATAGGGTTTGTTGGTGGAACATTCAGTCTGTGATTGAATCTACTTGTTTTCACAAAGAGTAATGACTTTAGAGTTGTCCAAGAGGAAAGAGGTGCATTTTTGTCACACCCTGCAATTCTTGTGAGCTAAATCCTTTGATAAATCTCTGCCTTATTCAAATGTTATTTTCCAGTCACTCTACAGATAGTGATAAACAAGGCTTCAGTCTTGACCAAGGGAACAACAGGGCTTTAAACTTATCATGAGTTATGATAGATTGCTTCTGGATTTATTGCCCTGTTGGAATGAGAAAAACATTTCTGTGTACCTTGCCTTTCACTATCGATTGATGTCTTCTCTATGATCAAATGGATTGATAATTTTGAGAAAATACAAACGTAAAGGACTCTAATTAAAACAATTTCCACATGTGAAAAGCAGTCTGTTCTTAACAGGTTTTGAAATTCAAACTATTAATGATGGTGACAGAACTGCCTATAAAAAAAAAAGACTTGACATAAATGATTATTTGCAAACAATTTATTTAGATGTATTTTTAGTATGTTTAGAAAGGATTTAGAGCAAGCCGTTCAGCCTCTAAAACCTTATTTATATGTAATACACTAACAGGATTTGTAAAAAAACGACAATCCAAGTCTTTAAATCCTTTAAAATACCCCCAACTGCAAACCAGCTCTATAGGTCTGTTTTAAAATAAATAGAGCAATTCAACTGTGTTTTAAAAGTGGTAAAATAAGCAAGTAGCTGGCAAAAATCAATTTTTTTTTCTCAAGATGAAGTTTTGTCTTACTGTGTCGTCCTAATAAGACAGACAAAGCTTGTCGGCTCTCTCATATGTGTACGTAATTACAGTATTTCTACTGTACAGTAAAGAGGATTAAATCATAACCACAAAAGATAGCTAAAAGACTTTTATGGAATTTGTGCAGTCATGTTGTAGTTATAAATTTAGTTTGCGTAAGACAAGATGCATGTATTTAAAAAATATAAATAAAAAAAAAGTTTGATTTTTACTTATTTAGTCTTGGATTTAGATCAACTTGAATTAAAGTCCTTATATAATTCAAAATTATTTTTTTCTGAGATTTAAAGTATGTATAATGCTACTCCTTCATCAAAATCATGCCCATGAATAACTCTACATACAGTAGAGCAGTGATTACCCGACCCCCCAGAGAGCACCTATTTAACTTTGCTGCCCCTGCTTAATACACATGTTCACTTTCTCCAATCAGCAAGTGGTGATGTAAAGCAAAGCGCAATCATTATTGCTCTACGTTGAGACAATGCAGCTCGTTTAACACTGAATCTGCATAGTGGCAGGTACTGTTGTTTTTTTAGCTGTAGTTGGCAGAGGTGCTGTGATATCATGCTGTAGCACAGATGCACCTATTAGGATGTAACAATTTTTTTCAACCCAAGCATGAATACAAGTGGTGAAATTTCATTATATGCACATGCTGAGTATTGATCAGGATATTAAATACAATTTCATCATAATTAAGATTTTGATTATATTCTCTGCCATGCTATGCAAAAAGAAGAAAAAAAAAACCACTTAGGTTGAGTCCGGTACATTTGAGGTATTTTTTTTTCGTCTTTGAAAATTTTAACAAACATAACTTGGGATCTTTATTCATTGAGAAAAGCTTACTTTTAAGAATTTAAACCAGCAAAGCTTTGGTTGCAGACCAGTTTTGATGATAGACTGATGAAGGTTTTCCTCTTTAACAAAGCAGGGGCTGCTTCTTCCCTCATCTTTATTAACTTGAAAATACCATGTTGTTTTGACATAGCTCCTTCTAAGCAGTGTGGGTTTTTAAAGACATGCTGTGGTTTGTTGTTGTATTTTTTTTTTGTTTGCTGTTAGTTTGTTTGTTTATATTTGATACCTATTTGTAAATCAAACTCTCTTTATATGAGTTTTCAATTAGAAAAAAGTAGGATATGTCTGAAGAAAATAGTAATCAAATATAATCCATTGGAACTTTCAAAACCCTTTTAGAGAAAATGTCAATTCTTTAACAAATGTTAGCTGTGTGAAGTAAATAAAACCCTGTCCTTTATTTCAGTTTGCTGATGGTTATTGGATTTTGTAACCTGTCGGCTGCCATATGCAGGCCTAAGGAGCCATTTTCTGAGGGTCTTGCAATTTTACCCAGAGTGGCAGTCTGTGGTGTTTGAACTGGGTATTTACAGCCTTCTTCAGAAAGCAAGCACTCTGCTCTGACCACTCTCTCTAGTCAGAATTCTAGGAAAAATTCAGCACTTTTTTTGCCACAGTGGCCCTCATACTTTTATGTATTTACGTATATATGTCTTTGCTATGTTTAAATTAATTTAGCAACTAAAAACCCTGTGTCAAGGGTTTTAAACAAATCACTTTTTAAAAGGTGATTGGCTTACAACAGCTAATATGTGTGAAGTAATACAGAGCAATAAAAAAGATTTAATCACATTTATAATGTATATTTTAAATATTTGTTGCATACTGTTTTTACTTAAAGATGGTCCTTTCCAAAATTGAATAGCAGCCTACATCTTAATCAAATTACAAATTAATACAAATATATGAATACATATAAGATGTATCAGCCCACTTAATTAGTTTACATACCATATACATAGTTAATTTTGAACTTCATAGTTAGACATAGTGATGGTATTTGCTGTCATTGAGAATCCTGGTGGCATTGTTAGCAGTTAGTTTTCTCTATTTTTAGTTTTTCCTTTCCTGTTCCTTAATATTCCTGTTAGTTCTGAATATTCCAAATAAAATATTCTGATAAAAATATTATCTCAATCAAGAAAATATAAATTTTATTTTGAAATATGAAAGATTATGAAGATTTCCTTCATATTTCCGCTGCTATGCATGGGTGCCAGTACAATGCAAAAAGTAGAAAACTTCCACATCATGAGGCAAACTTTAAAACACAGAGACTAGTCTAGAATAATCTTCTACATCCCACTCTACTTCCACATTTTATCATATGTCTACAGACAGGTGGCTAATAATGTCCTATTAAGCTTTTTCTAATATACCAAAATGTATCAGCAGTGAAAGGCAGCTGCTAAGTAAAGCGGAAATTGAATGTTCTGCTCATCATTCAATGTTTTTTTTTTTCCATATTGGATATCATATGGCTTATCAAATAATTCCTTTTATGAATTCAATATTCATGTTTAGAAGCCAGCAAAATGTGTCTCATTTCCTCACATACATATAAGCATTAAAATTCCTCATAATTCAGGAAAGCATTAATAATGTGATTTTAATATAATATTTGAAGACATGCTGAGAAGAAAATGTATTTTCTTCTGCCTTGGGAGAGTGAATGTTCTTCTCCCCCTTTAATTTTTGTTGCTGTTTGCGAGGATTTCCAATGAATGCAGCTTATTGAGATTTATCAAGCTAATAAGGCTTCTGAGCTCTTCAACCCTTTACTATGGTCTGGCTGATCAACTAACCCTTACTGTCTTGCCTATCTTCTGACAAGCTTGAATGGGACAAAATGCTGAGCAAAATGTTAAGTCCAAGCTAACAAAAGGAACGAATAAAGAGATCTATTTAGGTTTTGTCACTATAGGAAAATGGGAAAGTGTAGAATAGGCTCAGTTCTTGCCGTTGAGGTGAAGAAAGGGGCTTTGTAGTTACAGTCATTTGGAATGCCTTTAATTAGGCACTTAGACAATAAATAAATGAACTTTCTGAAATCATTGTTGCCTTAAACTAAGAACAGGGAAATGCTCCTAGGGCTATCCAGCAGAATCAAAACGAGTTTACTTTTTTTAAATTCAAATGGTAATTTTAAAAGGACTTTATTTCAAAAGAACAGGGATAGTCACTTACATTAACAAAGAAAAATTTTTTTCTCATCTAGCAACATCTCAAGTACTACTTGTTATTGATGCACTTTGCTAAAATGCATAAAGTGAAGTAGTTGTAAATTACATTTTCTTATTGTTGTTTCCTAGGTGACAGAGACGCGAACAGGCCCTCTTGGGTGTAGTAACTATGACAACCTTGACTCCGTCAGTTCAGTCCTTGTTCAGAGTCCTGAAAATAAAGTCCAGCTGCAAGGTTTGTAAAATGTTCCTTTGTTTTTTGTTTTTTTATTCAAAGATCCACCATTCCTTTGCCAACTTTCATTAAATAAAGAAAAAAACAAGAAATATATGTTTGTCGTACAAATTTACTGATTTATAGATTTTATTACTTAAGTTATCAGCTCAGCCGGCACTTTATGGCCCCCACACTTTTACTGTCATTCCCTACGTGCACATTTTCATTGCTGTATTAAACCTGGCTTGATTTTACAGGCTTACAAGTGATCCTACCCGACTACCTAAGAGAACGTTTTGTGAGAGCTGCTCTCAGCTACATAGCCTGCAATGGAGAGGGTGAGTTTGTCTGCAAGCACAGCGATTGCTGGTGCAGCTGTAATCCCAAGTTTCCAGAGTGCAACTGCCCATATATGGACATCCAAGCCATGGAGGAGAGCCTGGAGAGAATTACAGAGACATGGGAGTTGCTTTATAAAGAATTTGAAGAATCAGGTGAGGAAGTTATTATTTATTCCCCTGAACTTCTATGCCCTGTTATAACTACAGGAAATAAGACTTTTAAATATTATTCCTTTATATGAGAGGAGATGGGAATTAATTCAGTTCTTTTCTCTGCACTATTAAACCTGATTGAAAATCCTACTCTTAGATTGCGTCCTACACTTTGATTTACAGTTAAACAATAATATCTGAGTAAGAGTATTGGATTCCGGTATGCTATCTGCATATAGAAAATTAGAAATATGACATAGATCGAATAGAATAGTATAAAAGCAGAAAAAAAAGAAACAACTTTCAGCTCCAGCAGTTTACAGTAAGTCTAGAGAAGATTAATCAGCTATAAAACCATTTTATTGCTGGCCCAGCTTTTCCAATCACCGGAGAAACAGAGGTTGAATAGAAGCTCTTAGGACAATGTTTAGTTATTATTGCTGTGCTCAGTCACCCTGCCTTGGCCATTATTACTCAGGTGAAATCAAAATTGATGTCTTTTTATCCACATTTGCATTATTCTGAAATATCACTCACAGCAATTACCTTCAGACTTTATGTTTTAATTGCTGGCTGTAAAGTGAGGGCACAAAATGTGTCCAGAACGTAGACAAGTAAAAGTGTCGTAAATGCGTCCTTCAGCAAAAGGTCTAACACTGCAGTGCTTTATCGACAAAAAATGCAAATAAGTCCATCCACTAATAAAAGATAATGGTTAAGGCGAAGGAATATATCGAGTGTCCAAAATATAACATTAATATAAGAAAATCGGTAGCTGTCCAAAATGTACCAGTTTCACCACCCATATGGGTATGTGTTGCATGTTGTTCTTTGTCTCCAAGTTTTTTCCTGAGCTAAAAATTAAGGATTTGTATATTTTTATTAAAAAAGACAAATGTATAACATAAAACAACTTTAACATAAAAGAATAACCGTTTTTGTACTATAAAGGTACAACATGGTATCGCTTTAGTGTTTACAATTATAACACACATTTTGTTGAAAAGATGTGTTGTTGCCTGAGTTTACTGCATTTCCGTTCCAAAATATTTATTTAACCATATTTTGCAAGATCTATTAAACTGGGTTCAAAATCCTTATCTGCCTTATTTTGACTGACATTCTGGGGATTTCTCCAAATATGGGTATTATGGAAAACAAATAATTGGATTTAAGGACTAAAATAACATTTTATATTGTTTCTCAAAATAGAGAGAAATCAGAGCCTGAATAAAAAACACGCCTTTGCTTATAAAACAAAGACAGCGCAGCCAGGATTTTTTCTTAGCATACTGAATGCATGCAGTCTATTGTGTCAGAAGTAATTCTTGAAATTTATGAAAGAGTGTGCTACATGGACAAAACTGGTGCTAAAACTAAGTGATGTAAACAAGCTGTAAGCATGAGTGCTCCCAAGCTTTACAGGCTCTATTCCTGTGGGAGAGATATATAAGTAAGAAGTGTTTCAAACAAAGATGAAAATAATTTCCACTCTGTTAATATAAACACTATCTTATGACTTTAGTCTGTTGACAATTTTTCTGTGTTCTTCTGTAATTATTTTCACAAACTTTCAGAATTTAATTTGTATACACCATACTTCCCTTTTTATATATCTGGGGAATTTGGAAATTCCAATTAATAGGTTCATGAGTATTTCCCATAATATAGGTCCTCATTATGTGATGTCAAATGCTGAAAGAACATAGTAAATTACACTCTTTAATAAGCTTTTGGTCATCTAAAATATTCTCATTAAAATAATAAACCCTTCTGTTTTCAAAATGTACTTCCTAAATTTACCTCTGCTGTTTCTGCTTTTCATTCTATATATTTCAATACTATTTTTCCCTTTACATCTGAGTCAAACCCTTTTTTGTTGTGCTGGAAACTGTTTTTATGGGCATAAACATTAAAATGATGCTGACCCTGATGGTTGTTGTTGCAGATGAATTTAAAGCCTTCTACACTAGGCTTCCCCAGAGCTACTTCCTGAATGTATCAGCTATTCAACACTTGTGGTCCTTGGACAGCCTGTTTCAGTGGCGATATGAGCAGCTTGAGAACAGCATGCGGGTCCTCTCCAGAAGAGCCAAGAGAGTGATTTTCAAGCTCTTCAGTCTTAGCAAAAGATGTCACAGACAACCTCGAGTTCGGATACCTAGGGAGCGGTGAGAACACATTCCTATTCTTCCCTTATACCTGAAGAAATTTTACTAATACTCCATCATTAATCATAATATCATAACTATGATACTTCCAATGCTTTGACTATGTTAGTCTTATCTAATTTAGACTGTATATAGAAAGATTTACTTTGGCTTTTTATATGACTGTCTATTTTTTTCCCTCTAGCTTTCTATTTTGACACAAAGGTTTTAAGCTTTTTTTTCATTCCCTACAGAACAAAAAGTCAATGCTTACTGATCTGTTTTTAAGAGCTAGTTTATTTCTTTAGAAGTAAGCTGGCTGCTGTTAGTGAGGTGCAGTTTACACATTTTGTTCGTACTCTGCAAAGTAAGTGTAAACATATCAAATTACAGTTGGTTGTGTGTTTTTTTCCTAAGGATTTTCTAGTAGAGCTTGTCAAAATTTCTGGTCTTATTCTAAAATTTTATTTTCTAAATGGCTAAAAATTAAAAATTTGAAAGTTTTTAGATTACCATGAATGGTTTTTCTGGGGGAGCAAGTTGACAACAGTTAGCCTGGCCAGACGTATACAAGGTGTATAAGTCTGGTAAAAAGTTGGCAGAGCTTGACTTTAAAGATGGGATTAACTGGGTCATTAGGTGAGAATAGATCAGATAACAATGGATATGAGGCAAACATTCCAAGCAACACACTATGTTCTTGTAGTTTTGTATCAAATGTATCTTTTTTTAAAAGACAAGATACTAAAGCTGTCTGTTGTTGAGCTTTTAAAGTTAGATCAATCTCCCTTAGGACATCAGAAAGGGTACCAATTAAAGCCCACCTACCGGGCTTTAATTGGTGCAGCAAGATCTGGCCGTAGTCAACAGCAATTGACTAGACTGAATTAGGCTCTATGTAATCATTCTGGCAGGCCAGGCTAGAAAGCAAGAGTCAAAAAAAAGGGGGTTTTAATTGAACCCCAAAATTGAAATTAGAAAATGCTGAGCTCATAAAAGGTGATCATAGAAAAAAAAATGATCTCAAGAAGAACTTATGACACGTTCTAAATATCTCAATTATAATTTAGAAGTTTAGGAAAATGTGATGATTTCAAACAGATTGATGTAGATAATTTGAATTTTAGGCTTTAGGGTTGGTTTTGTATATTCTGTTATATTGTGATTCAGTACATCGAAGGTTCTGTTCATTTAGGTTAGTTAAATCTTCTAAACCTAACCATTACCAGGTAATACATCTTAAACCAAAACTATTCCCTTACTCACCAATCAGGCATGAAAATTGACTTTTTGGTAAAAAATAATTTGTTTGTTATTTGTAGATATTTTACAAGGGAATTTTATGTCTATCAAATTGCATGACACAGGAGCTTGATCGTCTCCATATTTCTATTTTTTTGCTTAAAACATCACATGTAGCAATACATTGTGGGAAATGCACTTCACCGAAGTTTGCTTAGATGTGTCCTAAGCACACCTCTATAAAATAAGTAACTGACGCCAGGATGGCATTACCCTCGCCTTTATATGGCAGATGTTAAACTGTAGTGACAAAATACAGTATGCATGAGTGGGAATGCACAAAAAATTACAGCGAACCATGTTTTTAGATGCTAATGCTAACCAAATGCAGTGGAATGAATCACAGAAATTAACCTGAAAGCTAGCTTACAGTATAAATAGCTTATTTTTTAGAATATAATTGAAAATCTGGAGAAATTGTGGTGTTTACAGAACAAAGGTTATAGTAGAAATTGTCACACAATGTTTATCTTAGAAAAATGTATAGAAATAACAGATAGGAAAATAAAGAATATAATACTCTGTATCTGGAGAATAAAAAAAATCTATAGCTCTAGAATTTTTTTTTACAGAAATGGATATGAGAAATAGCAACACCAGAGATGTGCAACAAAAAATGCAATGACAGCAACATGTTATTTAACTAAGACAGAAACTGTGCAACTGTTTTGTAACCTCATGAAATTGCTTTTAAACATATCTAATTTATGTTATTCGTTAACTTATATTATTAATTAATCGAATGATCACAGGAAATGCCACACCCTAATTAAGAAATGTTTCTGCTTGCTGCTGAACATGACCAATAGGGGTGATGTCACATCATGTTTTAACACAAGATCCTAACCTCTAAAATAAAAGCATATGACACATATCCAAACACTCAGCAAAGATATAAAATTGAAGTGTTCAAGGGCAGAAGTGAAGATATTGGAACTGGGCCCCAGGTGTGCGGAGCCCTGGCCAACATCTTTTGTTAGGCAACAACAATGGATCACAGCAGGTAAGTATTGGTAAAAGAAACAAGAATTAATCATGAGCACAAATGATGTATCTATCACCATAGTAAAATTTTTCCTAGAGCTAAATTGGTCTGGAGCAGGTTTTCCTCAATAAACTCAGTATCCCCTGTCTCAACCCTCCTTAAAGCCAATCACACCCTTTAATTTCCGAATTTAAAGCCACAACCAAAGATTCCTTGGCAATTTTCCAATAGCACCTCTTTTTTTGTCTGTGACTGTAGGTAATTGTTTACTAATTGCTCAAAGAAAATAAAGGGAACACTCAAATACCACATCCTAGTGGAATGTGCTGACAAAAAAAAACACAAAAATTCATCAATGGAAACCAAATGTGATGTAAATTACTTAAAATAGATCAAAATGATTCCTCCACGAGGACACACAAAGGAGCTTGTAAAATGGACATGCTCCTGATAAGTTGGTGGATGGTCTAAAGTAATTGTATCAATAAAATTCTTCTAATTGTCTTTTTCTTTCCGTATGAGTTTTTCCGATTGAAGTATGAAGTAACTCTGTAAAACTAAATGAGATTAATAATAATACTAGATTTATTTTTTAATACAGCCTCCAAACTGACAGAGACATACTGTAGTGCTATTTCAGGTGTCCATCCCCCCAGCTCTTAGCATTTATGACTTTATGGGATTCTTTAAAAATAGGATTGATTTGTAATGACCCGAAAACCCGAAGACCCAGATACAACAAGAGACGTTTAAACAGTTTATTAGAATATGAAACTGCCATAGGTTGGAAGGGACTAACCAAAGTCAGCGTACAGAACTTCTGGAAAGATATAGGACAGTTGAGTGACCAGACAGAAACAAAGGGAAATGTTTCTAATGTTGAATTCTTGATCACTCACCTTCTCGTTTCTTGAAGATGCCGGTTGGCGTGTGACGTCACTGGTGAACCTGATTTGAAAGAATTCTTCTTTGACAGTTAATTGTTGGTCCAGGGGAATTCACTGGGTCAGATCTGTGAGAGCAGAGACAGGCAGAATGATCAAGGGGACAAACCAGAGTTTGGAATTCTAAAGCTGGTCCAGAGTCAAAGCCAGGTTATTCAAGATCCAGAGACATCCAGGGGAGAATCTGGGAGCAAGGTCAGGGCACATAAAACAGGTCAGAGATCCAAAAACACACTATTACAGGGTTAAGGCAGGCTCAGAGAATCAGGAGGCAGAATCAAGTCAGAAACTGGCCGGTAGGCAGACAGGTATACAGGAGTCATGGAAAAAAAAAAAAAAAAATTCACCAATGACTAGTGATGATCTGGCACAAGTGATTGGTCTGAAAGCTGATCATGTTGCCAGGTGAGCAGGTGAATCTGACCAAGGCTGACTGAGAAAAGAGCCAAGCTGATAGGTGTGTGGAATCCTGAATCAGACCACCATTAGTGCCAGGAATCATGACATGATTCTGTAAAGATAAACAAATATAATAATGGCTACTTAATATGATTAATCCATCCCTAGAAAGTGAAGCAGCATTGTAGGTAACTGTAGAATCTAAACTTGTCATGATTTTTCTAAGGCTCGGACCCATATGCAGTGAAGCCAAACAGAGAGACACAGAGTAAAAGTTCAACGGGTTTTATTGAAGAGTATTTTGAGTTTGGTGCAGAGTTCCTCCAAACTCTGCTCGGCCGGAAACTGGAAGACGAGGGGAAGACAGAGTGTTAGATTCAGGCTCAGTGGGAAATTGGAGTTGTTAATCTTGAAGGAGAGGATTTGTCGCCACTCACGTTTCCAGAGAAGAAGAGACACTTAGATTCCAGTCTGTGTGTTGGTCTTCCAGAGTTTTTTTGATTCGGTGGAGGACGTAACAGGGTTTACCCAGAACTCGAATGGAGTGGAATGATGCAGCCGCTGGTTGCAACTCAGTTTTCCTGTAGTACTTGAACGGGTCATGGTGAAGATGATTTCCTTACTCAGAGAGTGATCTCAGCGTGCTCAAAGGTGGCTGGATCCAAATCTCCTGTTTGGAATCCGTCGCTCAGTGTAAGACTCAGTTGATCCCACTTGGGTGAAGGCGGTCCGAAAAGGTCCAGTTTGCAGGAAGGCTTCCTGCCGAAAGGCAAAGAAAAAACAGAGTTGAGTCTCAGGAAGAAAAAAGCGCTCAGTATAACTCAATGTGATCTCAGCTTGGCTAGGGGACAAAAACTCAAAAAAAGCAAAACTCAGATTAGTCTCAGTATAAACAAGGCTTGGCTAGAGTACCCCAAACTGGCAAACACTCTGGCATCGAAGTAGAGGCAACCAGCAGCTTAAGAGCAGTCCCGTGATGAGGCAACAGCTTGCAGGTGTGTGAGGAGGCGAACCGGAGCCAGGCGCCTCCTGGTGGTGGAAGGGAGAAACACAAAAGACAAGACAAACAGACAAACACAAAAACTGGGATCCTGACAAAACTGTTTTTGGCCTGTTTTAATCTAGTTGATCTTTTGGAGTTAGCAAAATTATCATCTTCACCCAAGCCTTAAACTTGTATGTTGGATACAGTTCCAACCATGTTAATTAAGGATGTGTTCCATCCAACTTCTACTTCCAATTTAGATATAATCAATCTAATCCTATTACAATAATATGTTTCTAAGGCTGGTAAGGTAGCATTATTTAAACCTTTACTTAAGAAATCTTCTGTCGATCTGTTGTTTGATCAATTGTAGCCATGTATTCAATCTTAGTTTATCAAGTGTGTG